AACTCAGAATGAGCCGACGGGCTTAATGACTAGTGTACCCAGAGTTGCATGACAACATAGTTACAATTTGAGGATTTGGTGTATTAGAGTCACGCGACGACACGGTATTATGATATTATATGGCCTTCGAGCAAAGGACTAGTACATCCACAGTCCCATGACTGCACAATTACAGGTTGAGGACTGAGTATATTAGAGTCACACGAAAACACAATATTATATTATATTGCATGCCCTTCGGGAAAAGGACTAGTGTACCAATAGTTGCGTGATGGCACGGCTACAAGTTGAGGACTGGGTGCATTAGAGTCACACGACGGCACAATATAATGATATTACATTACCTTTGGGAAAATGACTAATGCACTTAGAGTCTCGTGACGGAACAGCTACAACAGGATTCAGTGTCATATTTCAGTTTGAGACATTAGAATTGCGATATTGATACATGTCGTTAAAGGGTTAACTATTTAGTTTATCCTCATTGAGCTAGTGGTTTGCTCACCTCCCTCATTTTCTCTTTTCAGGTTGATCAAGTTGGTGTCGGGACACGGGACGGTGGATTGGTCGTGTATCGAATATCTTTATGTTCCTTTATGAATTTTGAGACATATTCCTATGATTTGGTTTTAGACTTAAGTACTTCACATGATTTTATTTGACGTGAGGCTATGTGATGTTTTATCCATTTATGGAATTATTATAAGTTAAGATATGAGCATGATGAGTTTGAGTTATGAGAAGGTTTCCCTATAGTGCTTTAGGTGGCAAGTTTTTTCAAAAAGTTCATATGAAAACTTAGAGTTTTCAAAGTTTAAAGATTTTCAAACTCCGTTAATGCTCTTCAAAATATCCAAATTACTTTTTTTTTTTTTAAATTGAGGCGTTACAGTTAACTTCTCATTTAGCGCTCAAATTACAAATAATTCATTCCCGACTAGTTTCTCGAATTACCTCCCCATGTTTAAGATCTAACATTTGTTGATTAATTTAATTACTAACAATTTAATTAATCAACATATACATATGAAACTAGTATCACTCAGTTTATTCTTATTATGTCAAAAAAAATTATGCTCGCAAGGCTTAACATAATAAACCTTTCTGAGATCATTTCGGGGACATCATCAACCAGCAAATCGGGACACGGTTACAGTAAATAATCTCTACACCACATCATGCACTTGGCTCTTACTTACCAAAATACGGAGTGTCGACCTACCAAAATAAGTCTCACCCTTGATAAATCAAATGAGCAGGTTCAAATACATATGCATGTTTATATTATCTTATGAGTTAAGAGAACCCAACAATTACTAAGGTCTAGATTATTTACTCAGTCAGTACAAAATAATCTTATCCTCCGTAGGTCCGTCCAAAAGGTGATCCACCTTCACCTATTTCTTCAAGAGGTTGCAAGTACGGTTGGTATTGGTTCGGTTACCGAACCGATTAAGCCAAACCGATACCGAACCGATTATTTCGGTAACTACAAATATGAAACCATTACCGAACCGAGTTATTGGTTCATACCAAAAAAATCAAAATTTACCAATAATAAATAAGAGGGCCGATTTTTTTTTTTTTGGTTAATCGGTGAGATGAGCATGCATGAAATTAATACTCATCAAATTTTGATTATTGTACTTATACAGTGACTAATAGAAATATATAAACCATAATATTAATCCACAGATGTGCAAAGTGGTCGAGCATACTACGACTTTTGTTGAGGGAAATTTGTCCGCGAACAGTGCATCCAATATCCAGAATGAATGTGGTCAACTATTGAATTTCCTGAATATTGCTTATGATGGTTTTCAAGTCCTGAATATTTCTTAGTAATTATATCCAAAAGCTACTTGCTCTATTATGCATTCACAAGCTATATAACATAAGTTATTACTTACTAGTTATTAGTATTAAGTTATTAATTATTAGTATTAAGTTATTAGTTTTAGTATTAAATTATTTACTATTAACATTAAGTATTATTTTTTCTTGAATTCCTTATCGGTTCGGTTCGGTAAAACCGAACCTCTATGGTTTCGGAACCGATACCGTACCGATAACATATCGGTAACCGATAATCAATTACCGTTTTAAGTGAGTCGGTTTGGTTCGATTTTTTTTCTCGTCAGTTCTGTTCGGTTCGGTTTTCGGTTTAAAAATGCCAGCCCTAGTTGCAAGTAACAGGTAAAATGTTAGACAAGCATTTCCAAAGAAAATGTTTGATCTTCCCTTTGATTTTGAGTCCCCAAGTTCTTTTCCTTGTTTTTTTGGAAGAGTTCCAGATTCCTACTCCCTTAATGTAAGTCTAAGTTATTCCTTGTTCCTTCTACTAGTTGGTCATAGGTTGATGCAACTGAAGATAGTCCCTTCTTATCATGATCCCATTCCAGCATGTCTGGCTTGTCAGGCTTAAGGTCTTTAATTTTAGGGATGGTTGCACTTTCCAATTGAGTGAAGCAGCTCTTAACCTGACCAAAGTTCAAATTCCTCCCTATGGAGTCTAAGAGTTAAGAGGCCCAAGTGATCTCATGCCTTTTTGAGCATTCAGGAGATGGTTGGAAACCCTTCACAGTAGGCATCCAAGGGTGCTCCTAGATGTTGACTAATGCTCCATTTTTCATATTAAATTTGGTACCTGTGATGAGGGTTTCTTTGGCATTCATCCACTTATTCCACATCCAAGATGCATTTTGCTTCTTTTTGGCTATAAGGAGATTACCTTGAGGAAAGTACTTAGCCTTGAAAATTTTGCTCACCATGAGGTCTAGATTGTCCGATGATTCTCCAGAGCTGTTATGTGATGAGTGTCTTGTTCATGAGGAAAATGCCATGGAAGCTAAAGTCCTCCTTTGTCTTTTGGCAGCGAGATTGTTCCCCAGGATTTCCAGTGGATGTGATTCCTGCTTCGCTCTTGATTACCCCACCAGAAGGAAGCAAAAGTTTGAGCAATCCCAGTGTTGACAAGTTTTGGCAATAGGAAGCAGGACATAGCATATAGAGAGGAAGAGCACTCAAGACTGCCTTCAGTAGCATGAAAGAGTAAGAAAACTAGTTTTCCAATTTGAAATTCTTATTTTATTTTATTTTTTATTGTCTTCTCAATATAGAAGAAGGTTTCAAGCTTTGATCTCCCAATTTCTAAGGATAAACCAAGATATCTTGAGGAGTTATGATAGGTGACTGCTAAAAAGGTCTGACAGATTTGTTGTTTGGTGAAGCTGGGAGTGTTTTTGCTAAAAAAGATGAAAGATTTCTACATGTTTACTTTTTGGCCAATAAAGGAGTGATACTTATAAATGATCTCTAGTAACAAGAGGGCTTGGTTGTTATCTGCTTGAGTTAAAAGAATAGTGTCATTTGCAAACAAAAAGTGAGTGAGGGTTGAACTATTTTTGCATATTTTGATGTCTTTATGGATACTCTTTAGAGTTTTTTGTTTAATGAGATGTGAAAGAATTTCAAAACAAGAATGAATATATAAGGTGACAGGGGGACTTATTGACTTATGCCTGTAGAGGGGGTTACATAGCCACAAATATTGTCATTACATTAAATAAAAAAAAAAAAAAAGCGAGGTTAAGCAAGTCATAATCTATTTCACAAAGGTAACATGGAAGCCTAATTTAAACAGAATTTGTCTAACACAGTTTCATTCAACTCTATCAAAGTTTTAGTCATATCATGGCCATATAGCAAATTTTCCCACTTCTATGCATATTTAAGAAATGAAGCACTTCTTGAGCAATTATAACAGTATCTAGAATTTGTCTATTAGACACAAAAGCTAAGAAACAAAAAGAATATTAGTGATCACTAATGCATAAGTTGAGGCAAGGCTCGAGTCTTCTTGAGCAATTATAACATTATATCATTATTATTAAGTTAAATTTTCCAATTTTGTGATATAAAATATTTATTATTTTAAGTAATTATAATTGTTTATTTCCTAATGCTCCTCATACTAATTTTCCATATTAACTACTAATTTACCAAACCATCTTCTTATAAATTAATTTACTCCGCAAACGGATAACTTCGCAAACAGCTAAAAAAATCATCTGGTCAAAAACAACCAGTACAATCCACGACCTAATTACCAAAACGAAGCCATATCATTTAATATGTGACTAAATTTATGAAATTTTCCATTTTGATTTACATATTAAATTTTCAAATAAATAATAATTACATGTATCAAACATTCAATAAAATGATACATGTACATCCAATGGGCGATGATGAATTATGTTTGCACTTTCTGAACAAAAAAAATATCAAATCAACCAAAAAAAAAAACGACACATTTGGGCTCTTCACCTGTGTGTAAATAATACTTCATCTGTTTATCTTAAAGATGAATAATCTCCATATAGACCACAACTAGAAAGTGTTTATTTCACAATCCCTCTCCCCCTTATATATTAATTGAGAACGTGCTGAACCTATGTGGCAGACTCGCATGCTTCGGGATCCTATGTGGCAAAAATACATGCTTCGTTATTAGGCTTGAGTAGATTTAATTTACTTCTAATCCAAATATATTTAGGTTCGGATTATCTATAATATGTTGATTATTTATGGTAAGGGTGGGCGCCGGCCGGGACGGTCCTGGATTTGACTTGTCCGGATACCCATCCCACTTTTATGAACCCGTCCATGAACGGTCCGGGATGAGGCACCGTCGGCACCCATGTAATACATGAGTGTTGTACTAGTTTAAGTTTAAACTCGAAAGAGCCGTATCAGCCTATTTGATAAACAAACAAAAATGTGAACTCGACATTGACCCCGCTCGTTTAATACAGCCGATACAAAAACCTAAAATCCAAAACAACTACATGCAGATACTCAGCTAAGCTCGTTTAGTAAACAAACTTGATTAGTTATTTGAGCTCTGCTAGTTTAAGTTATGAACGACTCCAACTCGATATGAACAAGTCGAGCTCAAGCTTTGAAAAGGTGAACCAAGTTATGTTCCCAAACAACTCGTTCGAATAAGAGTTATACCTCTAGCAACCATCGATAGAGCGGGAGAGAAAAACTGGTTATTAATTAACATAAGATATATGCAGAACATCAGTTCAATGAAGATTGCAAGCAAAACATCCTTAACAACTGAAACTAAGTCAATCACAAGGATAGGTTTTATAATGTTACAACATGATTGCAATTAAACATAAATATAGCACCATCTCACACATCTGTAATCTGGAAATCTGGAAACCACAAGGCATGACTGACTGTTAAGGTTTTTGGAAACTTCCGAACTAAGCAACACTCACAGGTTGGGCCGGCACCTCTCTCTGAGTTTTGCACCTAAAAATGCAGACACAAGTCACACACCCAGGAGATGCAGTGAGAAGATAAGGAAACCAGAAAATGAAAGCAAAATTCACTTAGAATAATTTAGTTCAAATAAACGTATATTTTTACAATACCATGGCAATTCCAATGCTTCGCAAGGTTTCTGAAGTAAATTAGAAGTGCTCAGAGTAAAATTCAGAGTAACGAGAGTGAAAGAAAACATCAAAACACAATCCCACATTTTTAACACTTGCTAGGCGGATTAGTTTCCTACTTCTTTTTCAGAAGATCTTTTAGTTTCAACAATTGGAATGTTACTAATCCAACAGAACAAGCATTCAGTCCCCATCCAGGACATCATTTCCTTATAGTTCTGTATCATAATTCAAAAGAAGAGTGTTGTGGGTACGTCAATCCTAAAAAGGAAAGATAACATTATTATCTTAACGTTTTAGTTTCAATCCATGAGACAAGAGAATTGCCTAATTCTGGTTTCATCATACTCGACAAATATTCTTTTGCGAAAACATGTACAAACAAGGCCATGATTTTGCGTCAATAAGACAACATACCATGTCAAAATCATTCTCCCCGTATAATCAATTTTGCACAAATTTGACAACTACCCATGGTGAGGAACTTTACTGCCTGTTACCTACCTATTACATTCTGCTCGAGAGGCATAATTGTGATTATTACAATTTGAGCACATCCAATCCCCATCACGCCATTGCTTTGCTCTGCAGAATACAACAACGGATGGATCTTAAACACACAGTAACAGAAAAATCAGATGAGACATATATGCATGTTTCACTACAGATATTTCAGTCATCTCATCTTGAAAGAAATGCACTAGATTCTGAATGAATCACGTCTATATTTCATTAAAGATTAATATCTAAGATTACCACATAAATTTTTATTTTTTTTTTTATATTAGAAATTATTAATTTTCAGTTTATCTACAGTACTTCAATTAGGAAGGATCCTCTTTTACCCTTTCCCAAGGAGTGCATGCATTGCTGGTACACGTGGTACTTGAGGGTTGACTTGCCAATTCTGGGGAATAACTGTGTTTTCACTCCGAGTGGCTGGGTATATATTATTTAATTTACTATCTCCAGAATTTGGGGTAGACTCTAAACCTGTACATTGTTGCTCCAGCCCATACGCCTGTAAAATTATTTAATAGAGAAAATGAAAGAACCAAACTTATATGTGGGTGTGTGTGTGAGCATGTGTAAGTAATGATTTTAAATATCTATTGATACTTGATAGCACAATCAAAACGGGCCAAAGCCCATGGACCAGCTGGCACACCAATCTATCAATATGGAAGGGCCTGGTTTTCCTTGGCCAGTTTTAATGAGAGTAATGTTCAATGAGTTTATTGATACTCTCTTATTATGATTTTCCTCTTTGCAGATGCAAGGTTTGTGATATTTGGAAGAGTATGGAATTAAAAAGTATCAATAATCAAAGAATATGCATATTCCGATGATAACATGCATGACATTTTGCCTGAAAAACTTTGTGCGCAAAATAGTTTGACGTGTAATGATAACTTGTTCTGCACTTATAATTCAATTTTGATTTCACAATGTATCCAAATGTTATATATTTGATTCCTTAGGAAATAGCATAACGTGTACACTTCAAGGCTGGTGGTTTGGTTTAATATGAATGATTTATGAATCACAAATACAGCTTACTAGTTGCTAGGTTGGGTGGATTTATAAATTCTAGAAGGCAAGCTGGCTGAGTTTATCAGGGTCTCAATATTCTGAATCCACGCTATTGCGATTAAAAATTTGATGGTGTTAAATCAGAGAACAATGGAAGAGCTTTGGACATAAGATGGCAGGTCCTTTTTTATTTTCATTTCGTAAATAGACCATTCACCTTGAAGTAACAAAATGCACCACTTCGATTATTTTACAAAAAAAACATGAACAATGAAGAGATAGTAAGCTCATGAGATGGTCCTTTTGGCCATGGCCTACAAGGACGCACCATGGACTGGGGATTTTCCAGTTCATGAAAAAACAGGCTTGGCCCACTCTAGCTGTGGCAGGCCAGACCAATTTAGTTAAATCTATTCATCATTCCTCAGTCAGATGCTGAAGGTGAAATAAACCACTTACTTGTCCTGCATTCAGTCTCTTATTATCCCAGTTGTTAACAAATTCTTCGGACGCCAAGCGTTTAGTTCCAAGAGCTACAACAGATGAAAGAGCATATTACCATTGGCTTATACGGGTAGTGACTCTAGACTCTTTCGAATAGAACATCATAAAATGTCGTACACAAGCATATAATAGTCATGGACACTAATATTTATACAATTTGGGAACACAACACAAATGCATCTGAACACTATCCGTATTAACTCCACTCCAGATTGAATGGAACCATTCATACTGTTGGAGAACTTCAGTAATTAGATCCTGAGTCCCATACTTTATTCACTCACCCCATATATTTGAGAATACTTTCGCAGGTATTACCAACAACAAGCGATTCGCCCTCAAAAAAACATATGGGTCCAACCCAAATGGGTGTTAGTCATGTAAAAAGGATGTTTTCGGAGAAAATAATTTTTTAAAAAAATAAAAATAAAGTCAATTTGAAGCACACCAAAATGAAAAGTGGAATGATAATATAAGGTAAGAGTGAGTAATAAATTCCGTTAGTGAGACTTGGGTTAGAATCTCGTTTGTTATTCGCAGTTTAAATTACATATATTACATGTTCCTGAAAGCATGAAAAAAGATATTCTAAGCTTCTATAATTGGGATAGTATAAAGGTTCTAATCTTTTAATAACTTGGTACTGGCAAACATGAACAACAAACTATTACATAGTTTTAAGTCAAATCTGGAGATATATTTAAGAAAGAACCGAGACGAGACGGCATGAGTCTTCTCTTGTCAATTTGTATTCTCTATAACAATCAAGGAAATCCCAAAAACTAAAACAGCCCAAACTCCATCACAATGGTATTCTAGGGTACAAGATTAAATTATCAATGCTGTCATATATAAAGAATATATTATTTATATTTATTTAAGCCAGGCTTGGAGGAATACTCAATTACGAACAAGAAAAAGACAACATGAGTCTTCTCTTGCAATTGCTTTTCTCTATGACACTCGAGAAAACCCAATAATATCCAAAAGCAGTTCAAGTTCCTGGAAAGTGTAGTCACATGTTTGGAGATCAGAACTGACTTTCTACATCATAAAGCAGAATCCGCCACACCCTTCCACCCATTACTACATTTACTTTCTTACATAATTTGTTTAGTTGTAAACTCGGTTGCAATAAAAAGTAATCATGCATGCTTATCCTGATTCTTGAACAACAGTAACAGAAAACACGCATAAGTATAATTGAAACACAAGATGTCACACATGTTATACACTACATCAACTTCTCACAACTAACACAAAATCATCCGTCAAGGATATTTCACACAAGTTGTTCAGAAATAGAGAAACCAATATGAAATGATAAGTTAACTTCTTACGAAATTCTGATAACTACCACACAAAATCTATCCAAATGGATATTTTCGCACAAGTCCTTTAGAAACAGAGCAAACAACATGAGATACTAAACGACCTTCCAGTTCTCTTTGAAAAACTGAGACAAAGAAGAACCCATACGTTAAATTGAAAACTCATCTCAGCAAGCTTCCTCCCAAGGGTCCCCCACTAGGTTGTAAATGGGAAATAACAAAAAGTATGCGAGCTAGAAAGTATAGAGAGGAGGGATTCTATCAAACCATAAATAAACAGACAAACTTCCACACTATTGAATTTTAAACAGATGTAATGAATAGACAAACCTGCGACTGAGGGATTAAGAAGAGATGCCGGTGCTGATATGGTCGAAGGGGCATTGCACTTTTTGCACTACAAATGTGAGCAGCAAAGATAAGTAATCACAAAATATTACCGTTGATGTCAATATAAAGAACTAAAAGACTATTAAGTACATTCATTTAATACATAATTGTAACAAATAAGAAATAACTTAAAACACAAAACACAAACATGTAAAGAAATAAAATTGGTAAAATACGGAAAACACAGTTTGAGAACCCAAGTCCTAAAACAATTGTTGTTAGAGGAGCACAAGGCAAGAGGCAAAAAGCCTTGGGAGACAAATGATGCTCTAATCCTCCATGGACAAATGCCTAATACCCCTATGAGCCTTAGGCGTGCCTCTAACACATTCTAGATTATATATTGCCACTCAAAAGAAATAAGCAATTAATACGTATTTAAAATTTAAAATCGGTGACAGTATTAAACAACACAAATCAAATCTTCTTATCTGATCACTTTTCTCAAAATTTAATATCGGTGAAAAACCTAATATACTAGATTCTAAATCCTCTATTCTAGAAAAAAGTTATCTGATAGAGAAGATTCGATTTTTTGTTAATATTGTCACCCACGTTAAATTTTTAACCGGCTACTCTTGAAAAAATTATAAGCCTACACACACACTCAATAAACATACCTCCAAACGAGAAGAATAATTGTGGAAGCCACATGTGCACAACCAATCCCCAGAACGCCATTCATTACCATTTAGAACAGCAGGAAGTTGATTCATGTGGCCAGCATATGAAATTCCCGATATGCCTCCATCTCCTAAGGCCCAATTAGATGATTGTTGAATTCCATATGGATCGGTAGCATGATTCCTGTATTGACCAGCTGCTCCACCAAGCCAGCTGGAGCCCAAAGACATTGATGATTGGAAAGATCCAACGTTCAGTAATTGTTCCATTCTTCCTTGAGCCCTGGCAAAATAAGTTGGATGAGTAGAGACAGAAGCTCCAGGGATCGCAACTGCTGGCATTGCTGCTAGCTCCTTAGGTTGGCCACACTTTTTGCACTTTTCTCTTGAGGCATAATTGTTGTTAGTGCAACCTAATGATCCATTGCGCACACACCCAACCCATAACACAGCCAGGAAGAAGATACAAGCCAAGGATACACACGCCAAGCGCCATCCAATACCAAAACACATACAGAAAAAACAAAAAAACTCAACCTAACTGTAACCAAGTTTTTTTACTAAGAAAAAAGACAAGCTAAATTAAGCAGCATATCAAGAAATAGAACAATTACACTTTCAGACACTAGGAATATGAGAAAAAGTTAACACACAATCAAATCTAACCAAGATTTAAGTTTGTTGATATAAACCATATAAAACCAGCAAATGATTATCGTGGCTCTTTAATCTAAAGGTATTCACTGGACAAGCTCTCACTAATATGTATTTTAGGTTTACTCAATTGGACATTTTTTTAGAGAAACACACTAGAGTGCATGTGCCCATTTCACCCCAGTATCAGATTTCAAAATAACTAAACAAGATACTAGCTCGTCGGCAACTCAACCTATTTCCCCTCCTAGCATTTAGGTTGTAAGAACATGCTGCGGCCTTGAGGAAACACTTATTTTGAGATTCACTTCTATAAAAAATTGACCATTCTTCTAGCATTTAGAATATACCATGGTGTGGTCTTGAGAGAGAACACATATTTTGAGATTTACTTCCTCTGAAAATTGATTATCGAGAGAGAGAAATAAAATAATAAGGATTTCAAGATGGGGACTATGATTTCGACCATCACCATTACCACAGGCTTAACTAAAAGCAGGAAGCGACACATCATGCAATCGTCAAACTTTCAACCAACCATTTTACGCGTAAGAAGAATTTCAGCTCACTGTATATTACATGATTAAAAACACAACGAAGATTAAGACAATAAAATTCACCAAAATTGAATGAGACTCAACAATACCAGTGCAGATCCAATCACCGATTCGGGGAAGCCACTTCGAATCGGCGGGCGTTTTGGTGTCAACGAGAAGGCGGGGCTGCTTGCAACGGTTGCAAAAGGATCTGAAAGCGTAGTTCCGGTTGCGGCATCCGCCGCACTCCCAGTCACCATCTTTTCCTCCTCCGCCGCCGTTACCTCTTTCACCGCCGCCGACCATCTCTTCCTCGACCTTTAATGCTCGAATCCAATCCAACAAATTGATTCAAGCCTTGCTCATTACTTTGGGCAACGACTCGCGTTCATAGTATGACCCATGCCACAAATCTTCAAGCCTAGTAATTTGTCAAAGTATTGCACTTTGCACCCTCAATATTTTGTTTTTTCGCAGTCTGCCCCTATGTAGTTATCAAATTCATCAAATCAAATTATATAAAAATGGCCAAAACTCGTAGGCCTCTTTAGTCTTTAATCCTAAAGTTGATGGATCCGGGGCTCTGCTGTGAATAATTTACAGCAGGCTCTGTTCTGTTTGACAGTGGCTGTTGGATTCTAAGATCAATTATCTAACGGCCGTTAATATTTTTATTTTTTCTCACAATTTTTTTTATTAAAACGAATAAATAATACGCTTTTCCAAAGCAGAAAAGAAAGAGACTTCATTTGTAGATGAAAAATCCGCCATCAAAGAACAGAGGAAAGTTTAAAAACAAAAAATTGGGTCAAAACAAATACGAGGAAATCTCCAATTTGGAAGAAAAAAAAAAGGAGAAAATCAAAGGAGGCAAAATCAATGTGGGAAAAATTTGAGAAAAATATTCAAATTCGAACTGTAACCATTCTAACAAAAAAAAATGTAAATCACGCGAAATGTTTTCATCGAGAAAATAAGATGAAATTGTTCAGGTGTAGCCGTGTAGGTGTATCGCACAGATGTATTTTCTATTTTTTTTTCTTTAATCTAATTTTATTGTGGATAAAGTTTTTGGCCATCAGATGTCTTTTAAATACATCCAACGACCCATATTGCACAATAGATAGATAATGTTTAAATGGGCACAGCAGAGCCCCGAATCCAGAGTTGATGGGATTGCACTATAATTTATGTTTCCTGTTGAATCTTGATTTTAATCGGATGTTTACAAAACATGATTGAGTTTTTTTATAATAGTCCTCCATTAGCTGAAACGGATAAAATTATAACATATGGGCTAAAATGACAAATATACATTTCAATGACATTCTTCTGTTTTGGTTGTGCCATATCCGAATTTTCCCATTTCGTTCGTGCCCTAACCTCATTTCGATTGAAGCAATCTTTACTGGTCGTCGGATGAAAAATCAATAGTTCGACTAGCGAAGAAGCGATACCAGGTTTTTCCTTTTTTTTGAACACGTATAGGTTATTGTTGTGTCATATCCGATTTCCCCATTTCGATTATGTGTGCCCTAATAGATACCCAATAGCAACGATTGAAGACACGGTACTTCCTGGTGGTAGGTCGTCAAGAAGCAATAGCTCGACGTGGGAAATAAGCAATACCATGCAATTTCTTTTTTCCTCAACACGTCTAGCATATTGATGTCATATTCGATTTTCCTCATTTCCCATGTTTGTTCCCTAACAGGTATCCGATAGGTCGACGATTGAAGACGCCATATTTCATGGTGGTCGGACGTCAAGGAGCGATAGCTCGACGAGTGAAGAAGCGATACCAGGTATTTCATTTTCACCTAAACTTCAACTGTGTAGTGTAAGAACCATTTTTTGGGGAAAATTAGTGCCCTAATTTTATTCGTACACTGTAATGTAGGACGCGTCCATTTTACAGGTCGGTAGGTGTGATGTTCATTGTTTGTGTGAAATAGGGTTATAGGTGTGGCTTCTCAATCTTTAGTGCATCATATTCAATCATTGGTGCATTTTAGTCCATTTTACGTGGTTCGTAGGTCTTCCTCTGGGGATCATCTCCCTCAGATTGTCTTCATGTTCCAGACCGTTGAGGCATCGAGCAACTAGTCGATCACGGTGTCTAGTCTGAAAAGGGGGGGCCGACCTACTCTCCCATGTTTCCTCAGTCAAGGCTAGCATGGCCGCCTTTATCTTTTGGGATTTGGTAGTGTGGTTCGGAGATTGGGTCGCTGACTGGGAGATGACCGGACCTTTGTCCTTGTTCTCTATGGCGCAGTCTGTTCTTTTTTTCGGGGTCTGCAACATGGCAACCCGAGCGTTTTTGCAGTTTCCACCGTTGCGACCTGGTTTGTCAAAGCGGTCGACGCTAGTATCTTAGCTACGGAACTTTCATGCCTTTGAGGAAGACTAGATGTTGAAACATCGTCGTCATGTCCATAGGGGCCACGACTGGAGAAATGATAGTGCACGACGGTCCGGTGCTTGCTTTCGTGTCGTGTCAGTCACGGGGGTTACGACCGGAACTTGTTCAGTCACGTGCGGCCACGAATGTTCCTTTTCAAGAAGAAGGGCGTGTGAGGAGCCTGATGCCTATCTCTGAGGCGACGGTTGTGGCGAATCTCCCATGCTGATTGGCATCATCCTCCGGCGGGAGGGTTCCAATATGTGCCTATTTTTTGGGAAAATTTACAACAAGCAACTTATGGGGCCATTCCTCTAGCGCCAAACTATTGATCAACGGATTTAATCAACCTAAATTTAGGAAAGTAGTGTCTCTTTTGGTAATTACGGCAATAAACGATTGAGTTTAATTATAAAGATCACGTAGAAATTAGTTTTATTGAGGTTGGATTTTCCGGTCGTATGAGGTCGGGTTCTGTCTTAAATGCGGAATTCCTTTCTGTATTTCACTGTTCCGTGTATTAAATTGGTCTGTCGGAAATCGGAATCCTTTCCTCATTGGTCCTTGTAGCTATTTTTAGTATTACATGCTTGGCCACTGTTCATCCAAGCCTTTTCAATTTAATGCTATTTGACAAGCATTTAATGCTTCACAGGCTACCCTATTAGCCTACAAGTTATAGATCCGCAGAGCGGCGTGCGTGTCCCGTCAACCATCATTGAATTGCAAGTGGTGATATCATAATGCTCCCAGTGATTCAGTCAAGTCAAATCTCCGACCTGTGTGAGCTTGCAGAGGCCGGGTACTCCAGACTTGATACACGGATGTCCCTTGGATCACCGTCTCCGGAGGGTAGGCCTGAGTTACCTTATTTTAGTTCAACCTGGACAGGGTTTGCACCTTAATTTCCTCATTTACCCTGGATATCAATAGAATGCATAAAGACATCTGATCTCGGCGAGCCAAGCAACAGTTGCAAGCTTTAAAGAAGAAGGACAAGAGAAGCATCAGGTATCAACTACAAGTTTTTAAAAGAGAGAGAGAGGGAGAGAGAGAGAGAGAGATGAGCAGTTGCGGAAAAAAAGGGCACCAAGTGTTGGAAGCGCCGGACACTGGCGAGAAAATAACAATTATAGGTTGAAGACGATAGGAAACAACAAGGTGGCCATATAATTTGGCGGGGTGCTACTGGTTTTGTAAAGAAAGAAATTCAGTGGCTGCCAGTGTTAAAAAAAATAGAAGAAACAGAAAGTGTGGATCGGCCTGATAGTCGCTAGCGAAAGGCGAGCAAAAAGCAGTGGTTGAGAATGCTAAAGAAACACCAAGCTACAGATAATAATAAAAAAAAGGGCAAAGGTGAGAAGCTGGCTGTGGAT